CTTCATACTTCGACAGTCTTCTGAAGTTTCACACATTTTTATTTTCATTGTATACTGTATTTATCTCTCACTACGTAAATGATTAGCGGAAACATATTCCCCATGCGTTTAGTACAATCTACTTCCATGAAGTAGAAGTACGATCTACCTAGAAGTACGTCGATCTACTTCTAGCCAGCGCCTAGACAGCGGCTCTAAACCTAACGAGAGCGGGGGGTGGGCGGTGGCTCTCTCAAGGCCGGGCTGAAGACTTGGCCCAGGCACTGGCCTATCTGCTGTTGGTTTGCTGGCGATCAGCTGTCAAAAGCGGGAGGGGGGGGGGAGTGGAGGGTGTCTTTTGCTGACACCTCCGTTTGCTAGACTTTGAGTTTTCAGTGCCAAATAACCTTGATTTTGACTGTGTTGCTAGGCATTTTGCTAAATTGTTGAACCTTGTTTGAGGGTTCTGTGTTGACATGGCACCCTGCTGGATAGGCCCATGCCACGTGGATGCGTGACGGGCCAATCTCGTAGCGAGGGAGTGGTCAGAGCACTTCTGGTTGCTGGGACTGTCTTTGAGCTGTCTGCAGGCATGCTTTTAGGAATACTCTCAGATATACTATATAAAGTCCTTTCCCATTCGTAGCCAAATCTTGGAAAAAGAGCCAATGACGAATGATATGGTCCAACCATATCATTTTGTCCGAAACAGTTACATTCGAATCAGTACAGTTCGACTGAAATCATTATCATCTAACATAAGTGATAAATCAACTTGTTTTTCCATTTTAAGCATCGTGTGTATTCTTTATCTGTTTAAAGTGAAAGAAGTATTATTGCCTATTTTGAGAACCCCGGGGTTATATTTAACTACTATTAAATTTCGTCTTCGATAAATAAAGTCAGATACTTATTTACTTATTATTTATTAATCTATTTAATTACTTAATAGACCAATTTCGATATGTTAAAATTCAATCTAACACAATAGATCTCAGAGCGAGGCTCTGGGGAATAAGCACCACAAACTCTTTAGTTATTCCCCGCAGCCTCGTACTGAGGTCTTTTGTTTTAGGCTGAATTTTAATATATCGAGATTGGTCTATCACTTAAATCAATTACTTAATGACAAGAAAACGTTAGAAGTATAATTTATCGTTCAGGCCCCAGTTGTTCGACAGCTGGATAACTCTAGATACACCGGGGCCGGGTTTTTCAAAGCCCGATTAAGCTAACCCAGGATTAGCGAGAATTTTGATTTCAGTTTGGTAACTTTTTGGTGAGGTGTTCTGTTTATATTGTTTGCCCTTAGGTTTTGAGCTGTAGTAATCTCAAACTACGCCAAACGTAAGAGGTGAAAAACATTTTTAAACAAGAAAAAATAACACTTCAGTTAACGTTTAATCCTGGGTTAAAGTTAACCGGCTTTCGAACAACCCGGCCCGGATAAATCGCCATCCAGTGGATAACTGTAAACAAAACAAACCACGCTATCCGCTGGATAGTGATTTATCCGGTGCATGGATAGCGTTATCCACCCTTCGAGCAACCCGGGCCTGGGGCCCGTTTCTCGTAGGGCCCGAAAAGTTTTCGCACCCGGAAAGCCGCAGCAAAATCTCAAACCTTATGACTTCACATATTCACGTATTTTTAATATGAAGAGAGGTTCTCTTCATGCAAAAAGTTTCAGGCGTATAAACCTTACTGCTTTTAGATACAGATTAATTAAAAATGGCTTTCGGGCCCCTGATTTCGTTTGCACTGATTTAAGCTGCGGAGGCATGGGACTAGACAGAAGACGAAATCTGTAAAGAAAACTTGGCATCTGCACTCTTGATATTGCTGTTTCCTGGTAAATGAAAAACGACCGCAGGAGGATCGTCGGTTGGGTCCTCAAAACCTTCTTGCTTGTATTCATCCTGTATTAGACAATAAAAAAAGACTAAATTCACTCCCATTATTGAAAATGTTGCTTTCCTTCTAGTTTCGTGGACCTACGACTTTAGTTTTCTATATTGAATGTTCCAAAAGAACTTCCGCCATTAACAAACAACATTGAAATTTATTTGCAAGTCTATCTCCAACTCCTTTTATCCAAGGTTTTGCCGAAAAGATTGATTCATGAAAATCGAACATAGCCTTATTCGCAGAGAAGTGTTGGCAGGGGAAACACAAAATGCCTCTCTTTCTCCCTCTTAGCGTCTCTATGTGATTTCTCAACAAAACTACTCATTAATATGTTTAGTCCAATTCTACTCTTATACTAATGCAAAGGCTGCAATCTTATTGGATGAACTAGCGTACACTATGAGCGATTAGTGTGTAGTGTAGTGGCCATGGATTTTCTGGTTTTTCGGAAGAACATTTAGAAACAAATGGACAATTAAGTTACGTTACAATCTTAGATCATTTTAGCATTCTTTTTTTTGAATTACAGTCGAACCTCCTGTAAGCGACCATCCAAAATGTTAAGCCTAGGCGGTCGCTTATGGGAGGTGGTCGCTTACCAGAGCTTGGACCATATTGGGTCAAAATTTTGCCTCATTTGCATATGATAACTGCAGAGACTTTCCACATGCTTTAAAGAAATTTCTTTCTCGTGCACTAACCAGGAATGAGATAATGTTACAAAACCTTATCATCCAATTTCTGCTTTTTTATCTGTCAAATGGTCGATTACGAGAGGTTAAAAGCAAAAGAAAGTTTCAAACTTTTAGCTCTCAAAGTGGTCGTGGTCGCTCGCGAGAGGTGGTCGCTTTCAAGAGGTTCCAAATGCAGGGATTTTACTTGGAAACGTTTGGTAACTTGGAAAACTGGTCGCTGAGGAGAGGTGGTCGCTAACAGAGGCTTGACCGTAGTTTTAATTACCTTCAAATCAGTCTTGGTGGCTCTGTGACAACGACCCAAGATGGCGGCGCGATCATGACGTAACTCTTATTTTTAATTACGTCAATGTGTAATGTTGCTGACCTCAAAAGAACTTTTTCATCGCACTATAATGGGGTTAGAGGTCCTGAGATTGCATTATCACTCCTTACTCGGTGGTAAGAGAACAAACAAGCCTATGTGTAAGTAGATAAAAGTACAATACCGAGCAATTTTGCCTTTGAAGAAAGGTAGTCAATGACGTTTCATGATTGAAACGTCACATTGAGGACTGACCTGCATAGCTGCGACGCTCTCGTCGCAGTGCGAGATTTTCAACTTGTCCATTATCAAGTCGATCTTTTCTTCAACTGAAGCACAACATCAATACATATACCAAAATCAGTGTTTGGTTTATTAAATTACAAAATATTAAAAGGATAAAGTTGAAAACTTGTACAATAAGAACACTTTACAGCTTTTCAAAATTTCACAAGAGCTTAAAACTCTTTGTTTTCACTCACATTTGGATAAACGCGTTTTTATTGAAATGATGCTATC